CAAAGATGATTCCTTTAAATCCAATAGTCATCCGGGAAGCCGCCACAAACGTGTTATAACGTGACCTTGGTCGGTAGCAGTTTGTACTTGAATTAGGTCGCGGTTTTGGGGTGGGACAACCTTACAGCAACCCGGGGCCGGGAGACGGCTAATCGTTGTGGGGGTGGGTAGAAGGGGAAGGGGGGGTGGAGGTTGGAGAGGGGGGTCGCGTTGGGGGAGGAGGAGGATAGGGCGGTTAGGGTTGGTTTGGAGATGGGGCCGAGGGAGGTGAGGTTGGGGAGAGGGGAGGATGGCGTTGGGAGGGGTGGGGAGTATCCGTTGGATGTGATGTATCCGGTGGGGGAGGAGGATCATATGTGGCGGTGGGTGTGGGATGGCAAGGTTGACGGGGAGGGCCAGACGCGGGTGCCGCAGACGTTGGCGCTACCCGGAGGAGCCGTTGGTGGGATACTGGGAGAGGTATCTGTTGAAGTTGATGATTGGGGAGGTGGATGTGTGGAAGTATGCTCAGCGGGGCCTTCAAGCGCAGTAGAAGTTGGGACTGAGGAGCAGCGATGCCATCCAAAGAACCGTTCCGTTCGGGAGATAAGTTGATACTGTTGGAGGAAGTAATTATAATCTAGAATGACACAGTAGACAATTCCGGCTGGAATAAACAGCGTTGACACCAATAACACTTTTTGTTGGGATACGATTGATCGTAGCCGATCTGAGATGATTGCTGTCTGCGGACTGGTCGATTTCCATCTCGTGATCTTCGTTTTCGAGTAGGGCATCCATCTCATTTCAGTCCGTTCGAGATAGTACTTTATTGAAAAGGGTCGGGCACTGCTGGTAAAGTGCAAGCATCTCGCTGGTGAGTTCCGGGTCGTCATGTTGAAAAGCGTTCTGGAGGAGCATGCGCATCGTCTCTTGGAAATTGACTTTCATCAGCAGGATCTTCTCCACGTTGGAGTAATTTGTTTCGTAGACACGGGTCTTGAAGTATCTAGAAGACGTTAGCAGACGGTAAGACGGGTAGGTCTGTTTGAAGAAACCCGGCCGAAGAGATCGAGGTGAAGCGAGCGATACATGGGCGACGCGGATTCGAATCTCTCCGGATTCAACGGTCTTGTGTTTGCTGGCAGGCCTTCTCTAAGCATGGTGCCAGAGCCATGCCCAGATCACTTCGCGACAAGAGCCAGACACAGATCCACACGAATGTCGCTGAGTCCAAGGGTCTGGGGTTTGCCGGTGAAGGTCTATCAAGCGGAGTGCTGGTAACTACAGGTGAGGGACAATTACCGACGGAAGTTAGACATACCGGTGTAAGTTTTCGCCTGTGAGTGTGTTACAGTTGACAGGTAAAGCGTACTCCTCCGCGAATTCTGGGAAATGAACAGCGACATGAATGTTTGGGCGCAATGTGTCGTTCTGGTACTGTAATGCCCGGCCAGAATCATCAACGACACCGTCTTGGAGAACTGACTCATCGATAACTTGGACTCCCGGCGTCCCTGCGTGTGACGCACCAGACGACCCGGTTGAGGTCACAGCTGCAAGTAAACAGAGCTGGTTGAAAAGGTAGCGAGCCCGGTAAATGATGTTGCCCATGAGGTAACGGTCCCGACACGACACACGAGTCCCCATCAGAACGGTAGTGCTCTTTGCAATCGCAGCAGTAGTCTCGATGATCAACTCAATCGGATCTTTCTCGTGGTTCTTAGCTTGGTCCCAGAACCTTGGCCGAATGTGCTCCCTCTTTAACCAGTTTAGGGGCAAGGCTGGGATAATGACGATCCATCGCGCGTGGTGAGACATCTTGTAGCTTGATAAATGGTGAACCGGTGACTGTAAACGTGGCCAACCCGGTGGGAAAGGCCAAGTCCGGAGCTGTATAGCATATTCCGAGCGCGCTGACTTTGTAAGAATGCCATCCCGAAGGAGAAAGTGCGTCAAGTTGCCAAAACCGTTGTACTCAGAGTGTGCTGCGTCGATGGGCCGTGACATGACCAGATCAAGGGCCGGTGACAGGCGGGGAAGTGCCGGCAGATCTTATTATTATTCATACTCCGCTATGCCCTAGGGCGTGCCGGACCCTCTGCTATTTAGTGTACAGGAAAACCGTGCCTTCCCAGGCCGGGTGAAAAACCCATACCAACAATCAAGGAACGATGCGTTCTGGTGAGTCTGCGTATAGATCTTCAGCCATCCCCCACTGCGTACAATATCGTTTCCGTTCCGACGCAGTTTGCAATGAGCGGTGCAGCATCTGCTGCATCTTCAGGGTCTGAGTGTGAAACCCGCCGTGAGTGATATGATCGAACTTGAGCATGACATCGGCCGCGAAACAGCATCTGCAGAACTTGTGTGCTCGTGGGCCTTTGAACCCGGCGTTCTCGGCTTGTTGAGGCATATCGCCAATGTAACACATCGCAAATGCGCAAACACGGACGATTTTGTCGCGAATATTCATAACGATACCGGCGTCGAGATGAGCCATCATCTTCAGCGCTTTAATAACCTCGCCAAAGTCCGATGCATGAGGCCTACCACGCCAGTGTTAGTTTCAAATACAAGATTAACAACATTTCACAGGGCAGGCTAAAAGCTATGCCCGTATCTATTAGTTGACACCCCCGAAAGGTGGAAAATGCTGGCAGTCAAGCAATAGGGAAGGGATCTTAGACAAGAAGCTGGACTTACCCGAATACGATTGGGAAAATGCTGCCCGGACTAAAACGCTCCTCTTCACAAAGCCCTGCTGGTGTGAAGTAGAACCCCATCAAAGTCCGGTACGAATTTTGGAATACACCAAAACCGTCAATGAAGTCCAGGTGTGGAAGGGAGACCACTGCCATGCCGTTCTTAGCCTGATCCCACTCATTCTCGAATACATGTCGACCAAAATGCTGGAGTTCGAGCTCTCCACGGGTTGGGTGCGTCCGACAGAGCGGGAGAGCTTCCTTCTTGACCAGGATGCGCCGACACTCGTACCACTCAGTCTCCCTACGTTCCCTCCTGAATACTGGCCAGACATATTTGGGTAGAGGCTCCGGAGGTGGCCGTTCCGTGCGCCGGGGCGGCTTCCAGCCTGGGTCGTCATGTTCCTCACCAGTGTGGTGGTCAAGGTAGACATGGAGGTGTGCGAATACACTGGTCTCCGGAATATAAACCAAATTCGCAGACAGTACCAACTCACGGTCGGTCTGTGGCGGCGTGAGTTCGATGTTTGCAAGTCGGTGATCGCCAAGCCGGTATGCCTCCTGAAGCTGTAGGCACATTTGGTTTCGAATTTGTGTGCATGGATCTTCGCGGTGATCGAGCCCAACGCCATAGACCCGGCCGATATGTAGGTTGACAATGTCGTCAGAGTCGTCCTCAATGCCGTGGCAATTCCGGACGCAGTTTTCTGACGTACATCGGAAGTATACCCAGTCGGAGGGAAAGATGACCGGTCCTTCTTTGCCGTCGATGATGACATGTGCGTAAAACCCTGATGTGCTACGAACCGAGGACAGCCAAGCGTGTGAATGAAAAAACTCGCGTGGTTTGTCGACGAACAAGCCTGGGCCCGTATGTATCCTGCCTAGGATATCAGATGCGATGATGTTCTTGAAAGCGGTGATAGGGTCGAAAAACGTTAGTTGCATCGTCGCCCTCGGAAGGTCCTTGAGGCCGATATCACCATGCGCTTGTCGGAGGCTCTCCAACTGACTCTTAGCCTTCTCTGCTGCTACTGCCGCGTCTCGTGCCTCGGTGCTGTGCCTGCCTTTATCGCGAGAGATTCTGGTCGCTGCTCTAGTAGCGGTGAGTGCTGCACTTCTGCTTTCTGCTTGAGCCCGTGCTATCTCAACCTTGTGACGTTCCTCAGGCTTCAAACTAGCTGGCATTGTCGGTAACTTCAGGATATTCAGAGGGATGTCTGCCTCGCTCATATTCATCATCGGCATCCGACGGCGAATACGGTCTCGAAGTGTTGAGAGCTGTTTCGGGAGGCTTTGTATCATTGAAGGGACACTGTCGTCTTTGCCGCGGATCAGGAAAAGCACCTCCCGAAGGGATGCCCAATCTTGACGGCTTAGCCCAGTCAAATCGGCAAAGGTCACAAGAGCCTTCTCAAAGCTGGATGTCTTGATTGACTTATTCTGGCGCATCGGAACCAAAACCGATGTGTCTTCGATGTCGGTATATAGCATCGGTGAACCGCGTTGGCTGGTAGACTCTCGGTCATCTTCCTCGTGTGGTATTCCTTCATCGTCGAACGGAAGATTCTCAGTTGGCTGAGCCCCTCCAACCCAGATGCACTCTTCGTATTCGCCGGCTCCAAGAACATCGCTCATATGAAGTCCAGACCGAAGAATATGTGCCGCTGCATCTTCAGTGTCGCCAGCTTTGAGCACGTCCATATCAACAATGGCTAGAGCTAGGATCAGCGCTGTTACCCATAGGACTGGTTACAGGATAACTCACCTTCAGTCTCGGAGTCGGTGTCAGACTCGCAATGAAGACCGTCATCGTCAAAATCAGTGTCTCTTATATCATTGGCACCTTCAATATCATGGATCGGCACGTCGGGGTGGATTTCCGGGATTCGTGGATTCGCGGAATAGATCTCGCCGTCGTTGTCGTTCATAATTGTGTCGCCGAACCCGTTGGGAAAAGCAGAGGTTTCAATCGATGACTGGCTCAGCCCCATGTGGTTGTCTCTAAATTGAGGCCCCGGGTTCTGCGCCGATAGATGCTGCTTACGTGCTGTGCTGCGAAGTCGGCGCGACTTTAGACCCTTCGGTTGGTCGGCCATATTTGCGCTATCAATGATCCCGATGGTGTTGATGGTGTTGTAAAAAAAAAATTGATGTGGGAGGGTTTTAGAGGGAGGAAATCGAAGGACTCGTGAGTGGGCGAGGAGTTGTTGCCAGAAAAATTCTCACAGAGGAGGCCGTTCCTTCCTTCGCTCCTGTTGGAAACTATTAACAGCCACAATTCCACGGTTATCAGACGGATGATGGGAGCTTACAACAGTGGGTTGGAGATGCTTCGAGCAGCCCAGAAATCATCAATTGAAGGTTGTTTCTTTCTGTTCTTCGGTGGTGGCCATCGCCCTAACCCTTTTGAATAGCTCGTTGTCCAGCCCCTGGATACCCTCAAACAGTAGCACCGGCAACCGAGCTTCCGTATTTCGAATGCCACCACTTCCAACACCACCACATGATTACGAGAAGCCGCACAATGTCGCCGCCGTTGATGGCCAGCGGGCACACGGCGCTTTGGCCGGGCCTAGTGTCAGCCAACCCACCGGAACAACCCCATCGAACTTCCAGGGCATCACCAGAACAACATCGCAGAGGACCTACGCGGCCTGGCTTGACTACCGGATCAGTTCATCTCCCGCAATCCAGGACCCAGGTGCCCATCATCCCCACATCCGATACAGGCAGCGTCCACAGCCGGTCGGTGGTGCAGCAATAGACTCGGCAGTGCACAACACCCGGTGCAACTGTCAACGCTCCGACGACAGAGGCCACCCCGGCAGCTAAAACTTACTTGGAAGCCGCCGGGTATACAACATTCGACTTTGACTAGGGCCCAGCGGACGGCCCCTAGTCGAGATCACCGTTGAATCCTGCCTGTGGTCTGCCTGCATTCTATGGCGTTGCGAGGGGCCGGGAGACCGGCATCCAGCAGACCTAAGGGTAAAACGTCGGCGAGGATACCATCTCTATCAACCGGAGAAAAGCTGACTAGAGAAGCCAGGGACACAAGGGTTCTAGTTGAGAAGAGTAGTGGTGCGTGCCACAAGTCCTTCGCGACTAAGGAACAGGCAGTAGCGTTTCTAGAAGCGGGAATAGCTACTTTGCAACTCCAGACTCCATCCTCGTAGTACTATAGCAGAAATACACCCGCCCACACATGGAGTCCGCCTGGGCGGGAAAGGGGAGCTCTAACAACATTTCATGTACCACAGGAGAGTTGGCACATGAACGTGCATGACATTCCCAGCCCGCATGCACCAGGCTCCCTCCCAGGGAGAGCGAGGAACAGTCATTTGTCAGGCCGGACCAACGCGTCGGTCCTCCATGTCCGGGCATGCCATCTAAGACCGCGGCCTAGAGTTGTGATCCAATCCTTGAAGTGGATTTCTGCACTTTTATCCCGAGAGACACACCACACATATCACACACACCACACACATCACACACACCACACACATCACACACACCACACACATCACACACATCACACACACCACACACATCACACACACCACACACATCACACACACCACACACACGACGGTGGTCCTTCACAAGCTGCACGGCTCCGGCAGTAAAGCACAGAGTGGTACACAGACGCGTGGGACTAGCTGATTGGGGTATGCGTCGCGGGTAGGTGCGGCGGCAACCTGCAGCCCCTCGAGCTTGATACGAGATGCGGCGGCGCGCATCATGGTCGATTCCTTCTTTGCCCGCTTACATGAAGCCTGCCCGTACAGTTTGGCCCTAAAAGCGGACCTTTTTAAGGGGCAGGGTGTCGCCCGTCTGGGGATGAACTTACGTTTCTTCACCACCGCTCATGAAAAGGACAACCAAGCAAGGGACCGATAGAACATTCTCGACGCTCTTCATGTCATCTTCAACGAGTCGTAAGTGGTTTCAATCCTGGTGGAGATTTTCTAGCGGGCATCAGGAGTCAAGCGGCCTGACAATCATAGATTCCATTGCGGCCAAGGCGGAGAGTGCCAGAGACATGATCGACATGGTCGACACAACCGCTAAGCTCTCGGAGATGTTGGACACCCTGGAGGGGTTGCCAACTGAACCACCTTCGCTCTACTTCGACCTCGAAGGCGAGAATCTCTCGAGGCATGGAAGTGTCTCCATCCTCCAACTCCATGTCCTGCCAAGCAGTCGAAGGTACCTCGTCGATGTCCATACTCTCCAGCATACGGCCTTCTCCACGTGCGGGGAAAATGGCCTCACCCTCAAGGAGCTACTCGAGTCTGATGGGATCCTGAAGGTCTTTTCGATGTGCGAAACGACTCGGACGCATTGTACAGCCACTTTAACATCCGCCTTGCGGGAGTCCAGGACCTTCAATTGATGGAGCTTGCGACACGCACCTTCTCCAAAAAATACTTCAGTGGGTTGTCGAGATGTATCGAGAGAGGTGCGTGTCTGCTGGCAGCGGAGCTGGCTACCTGGAAGGCCGTGAAGGATGCCGGCGTCAAGCTATTCTCTCCAGACTACGGCGGCAGCTACACTGTCTTCGTAGAGCGCCCGCTCTGCGATGCCATCAAACTGTACTCTGCCCAAGACGCCCAGATCCTGCCTCGGCTGTGGTCTCAATACAATACCCGAATGACACCTGTGTGGACTAGGAAAGCGCACGAGACTTCGAAGGAGAGGGTGGCCCTATCGCAGACAGCGACCTTTAATGGCAAGGGGAGGCACATGGCCCTGGCTCCACCTGGGTGGCACTGAGCGTCCCTGGGGACCGGTGAATATCCGACTTTAGATGGAAGAATCATAGGCTTGTGATGCCTTTAGTGAATTGAGTATAGTTCCCCCTAGTACCACGATCTGCCGTGCATGTAGATTGTGTAAGGTGCTTTATGTACATGTAGTTCACACCGCGTGGGACCCCGCCACACCCCGTCCCGCTGGAAGAGAGGAAGTTCCTTATACTCACGATTGTAGTACGGGTCGGCATTCCAGTTTGTGTTTCTTTTTTCTTAGACAAGCGGGAAGCGGACGTTGTTCGAACCCCAACAATGGCATTGTACATACAAGTAGAGAGCTATACCACTCATGTTATATAATAAGGGATAGATAACATCATAGGAAAGGGTACATACGTTTTAGACAGCCGTCACCACACTCTCCTTCTCTTTAATTACTCCAGACACTGCAAACACACTCGCCGCAAGGATGGACAGCCCAGACGACTGCTTCTCCGACGACTACTTTTCGGACGACTCATTCGACGATCCTTTCTGCAGCCTGCTCGACACCGACCCCTTCTCGACACCATCTGGATCCGACCCCTCCCCCAGCCCGGCCGACTCCCCAGCAGCCTCCTTCCACTCCGCAACAGAACATCCCCACCATCCCGAAACCAACCCCTTCCAAGAAACCCCCTTCAACCTAGTCAACTACAGCTTCGCCTACCTCAACCCCAACCACCACGCCCTCCCCTCAGGCTCTGACGCCCTCTCCGGCCACTTTGATCCCGACGCGACCCAGCTCGTGGTCTCACACACCACCTTCGACGACCCCCAGGGGGAGGAACATGAACCCACCTGGCATCCCATCGCCACCGACGGCAGCATGGCGTCCGCATCCGCATCCGCGTCCATGTCCGGCGGGACCGATGACGGCTGGGACCGGCTGTCGGCGTTTGCGGCGGCGTCGAGCGGGAGGGCTTCCAGCAGCGAGTGGGAGCAGTGGGAGGTGCGGGACGTGACGCCGCGAGAGAGTTTGCCGTTGCAGAGGTTGGATCCGCGGAAGAGTAGCCTGTATAGGCGGCGGGTTTTGGAGAGGGGTTATGGGGTTGGGGAGCGGGGGGTTGAGGGGGTTGGAGAGGCTGAGGGTGGCGCTGTCTCGGGAAAGGGCAAGGTTGATGTTGTTGTGGATGGCCAACCGCGTGCGTCGGTCTTGGGGAAGGGGCTGCCTGTGGTTGTGGAAACGGGAGCGAACGGGACGGGCAATCGAGTTAAAGGCTCTTTGGGTGGCAAAGCCAAAGCCAAAGTTGAGTGATGGTTGTAGCTCCCGAGTCGGGCTATGCCATTATTTTCACTACAGTGGCTGTATATTCTGTGTACCTATTATCGCAACCTACAACCGCAGTCGAATTTGCTCCGAGCTATCTTGTTAGATGGAATAGAACGTAGTTTTTGTCTTTTCAACACGACTTTTTCAAGTATATTTGTGATATGTATCGCTTGCCTTGAACTCATCCCTCAAAGAGCAGAAGTGAGAATTATTGGCACGGAGAGCAAGCTCACCGTTCCTGCGTGATATTCTAGGGCCTTTTCGACACTTGGGTCCAACAATAACCAAAGTTGAAGTCAATAGCCTATTGCGCTAAGCACCACACTGAATTCATAGTTTAACGATATGAGATAGTCGGTTCGGTACTAGGTAATGAGCGCGGTCCGGTCTGGCCGCTCCGACGCCATACCCCTGTGACTCCGGGGAGACCGAGACATGGGATTCAATTGTCGGGTCGACCAACCATTGACTGGCACCGAATTAGGCAAGGCAAACAAAACCACTGAACAGAATGCGGCCAGGCCAAGGAGAAGAAGGCCGGGGAGGCGTTGGCTCTCGAATGAGGCACGGCCCGATCTTCGTCGGGGGTTTCCCCGTCTGGGGAACATGCTTGAAAGTTACCCGGCTGGCCGATCATATTTGCTTGTGTTCTCGGGGTTTCGGGTCCGTGGTGAGTGTGGCTTGGTAGGCAGAATGAATAACAACCCTGTCTAAGAATGAGGACCGTAATTTAGATCTCGACATGTAGGATTGGGCACCGACACACCGGTACCTGACGACTGAGACATGTGAGCCGCGCACTGTAAGACACCCCTCAGGGGTGGCAACCACGACGATGGTCACGGTAACAGCCAAGACAAACGATGTTGATAGGTGGCACAGTACCGAGAACTGGTGGTAAGTGTGGATATCATCATTTTGGTTTCCAATCTCATAGACATCTGTCTGATAGGATGGTGCTCGACAATAAATCTAAAAGAGGCGTTCTATTATTAACACAGACTCCTATTTTTTCAAATCCCGTCTATCCATCCGCTTCTCTATCGCCGTGACGTAAAGATACAACGTCCAATATTACTACTCTCCAAAAGGTCCGAACCCCGTGCCCACCTGCAGTCCCTTGAATATCCTACACCACCCCGTCTAAAAGCACCATCTAAGCAAGAACGGCGGCGACACCAGCAACCAGGGCAAGCAGGCTGCCACCCTGGACAACCATGCCGGTCGGGGCGGCAGCGCCGTCGCTGGTGCTGGTGGCAGACTCGGTCTGAGTGGCGCTGTTGCCGGCGGGGGTACCAGTAGACGTGGTTACGGTGGTGCCAGTCACAGTGGTGTCGGAACCGGTGCTAGTGAAGGTCTGGGTCAGGGTCTTGAGGGTGGTGGTGAGAGTGACGGACGACGATGAGGAGGCCGAGGTGGCGGAGGTGGAGGCGGAAGCGGAGGTGGTGGCCGAAGAGGACGACTTCTCGTCATCGTCGCTGTCAGAGGCCGACGACTTGACCTCGAACTGCTCCGACTGGGCGAGGATGCCCGTGTTCTGGGTCTCGGTGCTCTCAAAGTTGAACTGGTAGCCCCCGTCAGAGGGCACGTCCTTCTCCGAGACCTTGAAGCTGCCGGCAGACAGGTCGATCTCGCCCAGGTCCTTGCTGAAGGGGGTGTGGCCGGAGGCCATGTTGACTAGCACGAGGTGGGCCTTGGACGGGTCGGTGTTGACGGTAGACCACTTGACAGTGACGCCCTTGGAGGGGTCAACCACGTCGTTCTTGGAAGGAGAGGTGATCTTGATAGCGTAGAGAGGGGCGGCGAGGGCCAGGAGGGTGGCGAATTGGGCACGCATTTTGGCGGTCTCTGTTTTGGTTTGACTAAGATCTAGGATTTGATACTTTGTTTAACGAGTGTGATGTCCGGTTTGACGATGAGCGAATGACAAGAAGCGAGTGTGGTTGTGACAAGACCGGGAGAAAGGGCCGGCGTCAAGAGTGCGAACAAGCTTTATCAAGGAAACGGGCGAGACCCAATACGAGATCTGTGTCCCGGCCGTCCGGCATAAAGCGTTGCGACTCCACCATCGCCATGCGAGAAAAGCCAGACATCTCCACTACCGCAGTGTTCCAGCCCTGGCAGCGGTCCCTACGGTACCTGCGCCTTGATCGGTCGTTGCAGGACAGAACATGGCCGAGAGCGACACAAGGGTGAGGGCCGGCTCCATGCCGTCGCCATCTCATGCGTAGGGCCTCGCTACATTTTTGGTTTCTCGGTGCAAATTTTGAGGTGGTTGATATGGTTCTGGCGGTGCGCGAGTCAATTGCCCCTAAGCCACGCCGTATCCGGCGAGTTTCACATGGTGCATGCTTGTTCTGGCGGCGCTCGCGTGCGAATGCGATGCCCTTTGCCGTATGGTGTGGAATCGGCCTCGTATCTGAGAAAAAAAAAAAAAAAACAGGGCACAGCCGTCGGGGGATCCCCAGGACGATAGATGTGTCATGCTGGAACCACCCAGCTGATAAACACACTCAGAGACAGCACTCGGCCTAGCATGATGAGGACGAGACTCCACCAAACCAAACCGGAAACTTTACGTTGTTCGTGTTGGCTTGAGAAATGGCGAGACCCCCAAGCTTCGCCAACGCTGACTAGCAACGTCAACCGTCAACTGCCAACTGCCAACTAACTTTAGCATCGGCTCTTTACAGATATTACCGTTTAATCGGTTCAACCAAGATGTCGTGTTACGTACCAAATGGTTGCTCGGGGTGCTGTTTCGGGACGAAAGCCGAGTGGCAGAAAAGTGGCTTGCAGGAGTTCTTGAGTCGAGGACAGTAAGAACGTGGCTGCAGTTTGTTGAGTGACGTCGGCTTTGCTAGCGTGGGAATGACATTCCTTCGCTCTTTTAGTCCGCGACGCCGCGCGCCGGCATGGAGCGTGGCGTTCGAGGCTGCCGCCACATTGTTTGTATTTCGTATTGTCGTGAGATCGACGAATAGGGACCAAGGTAGTTAGTTCTTCCTTCTTGAGAGAACCCAGGTTGATGTACATTAAAGATGTAAAATGGAACTTTGCGATCTCCAAATCCTTCCCGCCGCAATGGAACCACTTCCGGTTGTCTCAAACTGAAGCAAGCACAATTTCTGCACCAGTGTCAGTGCAGGCCGAGGATGGCCTGGGAGTGGCAAGAAGGTACCATCGAGAGGCCGATCCAGCTTGGCATCTGTCGGCTGCCGGCAACAACTGTCTCCACAAACCCACAACTCTGGATTCTTGGAAGCAGCAGAGGACTCCTAAAAATGCACAAGGTGATCGGGATGATCCGAGATGATGGAGAAGATGGGACAATCGGCGCTGATCCGACTGCCCACAAAACAAAAGAAGAACAAAAATCCCCGAATAGCGTTGCAACTTGTTCGACTGCTGGGGGATTATGCGGGTCATTCCGTCTCCAAAACGTGAACCGCAGTGGTGAGAACCAGAAGATGCTGCTCTTGCCGAGAGTCGGCCCAAGCCGAAAGGGGAACTGGAAGGGGAAGAAGCCGCACAACGGACCAATGCAAGAGATCCGGTGCGTTGCGCTCAGGCGATGTGGGGCGCAGCAATGCAATTTGGTGTTTATCATTGGACAGTCTGCGCAGAGGCCCCCGTCGAGAGATCCATCGGGCAGCTGGCAGGACCCTGGTGTGTCGAGGGTTTACCGAACACCACCCTCATTGTTTTCCCTCCTTCATCTCCCGCCCGAGCCAGCCTGGAAAGGGGTGCGTTGCGATCTGGATCTGGGCAACGGACTTGCCGTCATGCCCTGTTCCCCTCGCGAGTCTGCACCATTCTTGGTTGCTTTTGCCCGCCGAGCAGCTTTCTGCGGGGCGCTGGGCAGGCTGGGCGGGGACTTCCCTCCTGCCTTTTCCCCTTTTTGCAGCTGGGTCCGGCACGGGAGCAAGGGAGTGTCTGGTTGAGACCCCGAATGGTCCCGGCAGTTGCTCCCATTCCCGGTCTCAACTAGCCGGTGGAATCATGAAATCACGAGTTAAACAAATCTGTGCATGCTCTGCGCTGACTCCCCTCCCCGATGGGATACGGGAGAGAGACCTCAAGACCACCAAAAACAAACCAGGGAAGCGTTGTTTGCCCAATTAACTATTATTATGTATTTCATGTTTCCCGGTGATGGCTCCCGATAGGTAGGGCTTTTATCCCTTTTCTTACACAGTAACACCGTCGCAACGGCCGCCCGCCCGGACCGTCACAAGACGGGAGGGGAGGAGGAAAACTCCAAGCCCGCCGGGGCAGCAGCAGCAGGGCTTGTTCATCCTTTTTGCATGGAAATTACGACCCAGGGTCTGGGGATTGCTTCCGGGGTAGGCGAGCTGGAGGAACGAGTGGGAGCCGGTTGGAGCGGGTTGCCTGGTGCCTGGCGATTGGCCGCCGACACCTTCTAGAACCAATTGGGGAAGGCGAGGGCCCCCGCGAAAAGAAGCCAGCCAACCCAGTGAAACCGCTGTTTGGCCCCGGAGCTGACCTCTTAAAACAGCTGCCGCTCCCGAAAGCCTCACGTCAACCCGCAGCCATGCCACCATGCCACCACGCAGTCTCCGATAATAATCACCTTCGATATTCGATAATATTCCCCGATCCGACGAGTCCTTGAATGGCCGCTCGTCGACAAACAGCAAATGCCTGTCGAACACCCGCCGACGTCCTCCAGGAGTTGCCCGCGATTCGAAACCGTTTGACACGACCCGACCCCATTCGAGACGAACCGCTATCTGCGCTCCGCAGTGTCGGAGTGGACTGAGATCTGATGATGGAACTCGTGGCCACCACCAGCAGTGCTGTTTCACCGCCTGCTCCCCGGCGGGGGAGACGCGAGAAGCCATGGCCGCCCGGCAAGCAGAAGAAATTGCTGCGTCTTTATGTCTGCACACAGAGCGAACGCTTGCCCCTTGTCCGCATCCTTGAACGCCTCAAAGATGGTTCGTTTGATCCAAGGTGCGCAACCTTCCCCCCCACCCACGAGGGCGCGCATGGCGCCCGCATCCCTATTCCCACGTGTCGGCGCAACGGTTGCTGATTGATTTGACACGACCAAAGGCAGCGCAACTCGCACAAGCACCTCAAGAACCTCCTCCCGGACCGCAGGATCGATGATTGGAGGCCCCGCGATCTCGCGACCATGTTGGTGCGCGTGCGCTTCTTAAGATCGCTGAGGGCGGAGCGGAGGATTAAAAACCGGAAAGTCCGTCGGCGGCGCGAGACACAACCGCGGAATCCGTTCGGGTACGATTTGCTCGACGTGCCGGGGACTCGCATGTCCATCGATCAACCCCACGTCGAGCAGCAGCCTGTATTATACGCCCACAGCCCGAGCACCGATAGCCCGTCTACGGTCAAACAATCCTCGTCCGCCGGGTCAACGCCGCAGGCTATCAGCACCGGCTGTTCCGACACCTACCTCCGGGACAAGTCACCCTCCCGAGCATCCTCGACGACCCCTTCAACAAAGTCTGCCAAGCGTAGGTCATGGGCCTCGGTTCTCTCCAGTATCTCATCTGGGATCTCCAGCTTAGCACGCTCCTCTTCCTCGGCGTCCTCGAAGGGCGCGAATGTGAACGCATCCGGCGCCAACACGGCGCTGAGTAAGATGACGCGTGAGGAGTTTTTGACCATGCTCCAAGAGAAGCCACGGAAGCCGACCAAGGGGAACGGTACGCCGGCCATAGGTGGCTTGTTCAAGTCCAAGTATTCGACTGTCAACCCCACCACCGAGGACCTCAACGCCGCGCTGGTCCGGATGTGTTGCGCAGCTCATGTTGGCCGTGGCCCGCCCGGGTGTGTCCATGAACGGTTGTCCAAGGCGATCGACGCCCAAAAGACGGACGGTCATGACTTTACCCACTTCCGCGTTACGGAAGAGGAAGCTAACATGGTGGACAAGTATGGGAACTCGCTGCTCCATGTGGCGGCGAGGTGGGGTGCCCGCGTCTCCATCCTGCTCATGATCCTCAAGCGCACCGACGAGGTCCAACTCGTCAACCACCGCGGTGAGACGTTCCTCCACGTCTTTGACCCGCCCGAGAACCCGCACATGCGGCCGGTATCTTTTCTCAACCTTATCCGAACCCTGCGGTCACGCGGCTTCGATTTCTGTCACCGGGACGTGGATAAGCACACGTTCCTGCACCATTTCGTCGCCAAGAAGGAGTTCCCCATTGAGACTTTGTACTACGTGTTCAGGGAAGTTGGTTATGGCGCCGCCCGGTTTCTCGTCGCGAACAAGTCAGCCAACGGCGAGCGGCTATGGCACAGCATCCGGCGGAACTTGGAAAAGTCCGCACCAAAACTCCACCGCATCTTTGGCGATGAAGTCGAGTTCATCCGCCGCTACCTTCCCGAGTTCTCCCCCGAGGGTAAAGCCCCTTCAACCGCTGATACGTCTACTATCGGCTCCGATAGCTCCATCTCGATCCACCCGACCGAAGTTCCGATCCTTAGCCTCGGCACTGCGGACCCTAACGACAGCAACGCCCAAAGTGTCCGCCGCACGCCCGTCATGAAACTCCTCCGGCGTGCTGCCGCGGGTAGGGCGGGGCTGTCGGATGCCGAACTAACGGCCAAGCTGGAAACCATCTTCGACGCTGCCGCCAAAGTGACCGACTTCGACATGCAGGGCTACCTCGGGAAGCGTGACACCGAGGGAAACACGGCGCTCCACTACGCATCCGAGTTCGGACTTGTCCCGGCTGTGCAATATCTTTGCGCCAAGGGGGCGTCGGTTAACGTGTTCAACAACTGCGGCAACACACCGCTGCAGCTGGTAAAATTCGCCATCCAGCGGACCGACGTCCGCTCCGACATCCACATGGAGGCCCGGTACCTGCGGTGCGCAGTCCTGCTGCTGGAGCAGGGCGCCTTCGACCAGAGCAAGCTGGTCAGCGAGCGCTCCGTCATCTTCCCCTACGACGTGTTTGACGGCAGCGAGCGCTCCATCAACAACCTGGTCAGCCAAGGCGTGGCCAGCCAGTGCCGCGGGTTGCACTTGCTAACCTCATCCGTGCGGCACCACAGCCCTGGATATCTCGAAGGGCTGGAGAGCGAGTACTGCTCGCACGGCCATCATCATGGGCATCTCGGGTATGATGAGGCGGGCGGCAGCGGGATGGGCATGTCGTTGACGTTCCAGACGTCAGTCCTGACTTCGCAAGAGGCAGCTTCTTGATTGAGGGGGGTGGGCAGGGTTGTCACTTCTTTTGTCTTTTTGGGGTGTCCTATTTTCGGACGGGTTTCTTCCTGTACAAATACCATGTAGGGGAGCGGCGGTGCATGGGAAGAGCGTTCTTTTCCAAGGGGGGGTGTTCCTTTTTGTTTCGGGATCTGACTTTTTGGTGGCTTCCAAGCAGGCGTTGTGGGTTTTGGCTTTCCAGTTTCTTGGGGCGGGGTCGCGAAAGCAAAACGCTGCTGAGTTACAGCCGCCATCTTGTTCCGTATTTATTTATGATTATATCCGAAAAGGGGCGCCCTGAATTTTGGCGTATTTATTCGTACTTCAACCTGCGCATCTTGTCCGCCTTTGTCAACTGGCATCGAATGTGGTGGTTTATGGTCCGGCTCTTCTCTCCCTTGTCTCTTTAGAACCTTGTTTTCTTTCGCACGGGCAGCAGCGGGCGGGGCCTTACCCGAATTTGGGGGCGTTACTGCAAGGTTGCGGCAAGGGAATGTTGGTTGGGAACCCGCCATGCATGCGCCAAAGGGGAAAGGCCGAGAAACGGTCGAAGAGAGGAGGGGGTGCTGATTCGAGCGGTTGTTGCACCCGGAGCTTGCATCTTTCTGGTCCGCCTTCGGTTGATGCCCCTCATCAGGCTTGATGTCTTTTTACCGAGTTAGTGTTTTTGACGTACTTCGTTTCCAGTTCCAGCTGATCGTGGGACAGGGGCCGCTGAGTTGAATTCGCGGGCGCAGGTGCGGCTGGATTTTGAGACACAGTTGGGCCATTAACATGACAGAAACCGTTTCTCGATCGTTCAGGTGGTCGATCGGACAATTACACTGGGAGACCTACGAAATACGAACACTTGCATTCGACAACAAGAACTGCCACCCCCACTGGAGAGGCGGTTCCGTCATTAGTGCTCGCGTCAGCTCGTGAAGCATTCGATCGGCGGGATGACCGTCGATGCGTTCTCCAATCCGTTGTCACATTTCGAACCTGTCAAAAATGTCAACAGAACAAGCCTCGAGGACTGGACGGATCCCCCCCGTATTGTGTAAAGGTTGCACGGCAGATTGCCGTCTAAGGTTGCACCACCGAGACCCTCGCAGCGAAGGGCACTTAGGGATTCGGGTCCCACAGGGGGATTGGTGGTGGGCTGTGTGGCTTCGGTTGGTTACAGCTGCTATCTGTGCCGCCCGGGGCATTTTCTCGATGAGGTCGACGTTCACACACTGGACGGTTCGATTCGACGCCACAACGGACAGCAGCGCTGCTGCGTCTCCTTTGTGCCCCCTCCTCGCCCGGGCGACTAACGAAGACTTCGTTTCACCTAATCTGTACAAACAAGATACAGCCCTCACTGGCCCATATTAAAGAGACATCGGGCCTTGGCCCGCTTTGAGTTCTGTTCCCGAATCCCAGGCGACGCGGCACGCCGATCCTTGGGGCCCACGATCTCTATTTCTGTTTGGGATGCCTTCCCCTTCCCCACTGACAGTTCCCGATTCGTCTTTTGTATATACTCCTCTCGAGATACGGTCGACCCATCATGATTTTGATCCTTTGAGTTTCCGATAGGCATCCCAACTTTCCTTTCATGAGCTACAGACGAGACTAGCGAGTCAGCTATTCACGGAAAGTTGGCTTTCACCATGGGGGCCCGCGCAGGGTGTTTTGCTTTCCGTCCCAACTGGGACCTTGCTTGTTTACTTCTGCTATTATTACAAAGCTTCAATGGCCGCACCCTAGCGCAAACAGCAGCGTCAGATGCCCCCGCCAACTTCCAGGGCCTCTACCTAAACCCAACCGCACCCGGTGCGTAACAGACTCACCTCAAAACTAAAGGGGAAGGGGGAAGGGGGTAGGGGGGAACAACCCAACCGACCCCCCAGCGCCCCCCACCCATCCCCCATGCCCAACTCCAGCTCTAACCCCCCAACCACAACCACAGCCGCCATCGAGACCATCAGCTGCGACACGAGCTCCATCTTCGCCCTGTCCAGCACCTTCGCGGGCTGCTGCCGCATCGGCGGCAACTGCAACTTCCCGACGGCCTGCACCAAGGGCACGCCCACCAACCGGCGCGGCGTCCGCTGGTCGTGCGGCCTCGACCGCGAGTGCTACACCATGACCGTCTACGACGCCCTACTCGGCCGCCTCCGAGAGCTGGCTCGTCTACAACTGTGCCAAGTCCTGGTCCGCCAGCACCATCTACCGCAACGTGCCCGCCTGGGTGACCACCTCTCCCCCGCCCTTCCGAGGGGCCGGAGCCGACGGGGAGTATGGCAATGAGCACGGGGATGGTGACCACGACGACGCCGGGGGGGCCGCCGGCGGCGATTACTTCGGATGGGGGACAAGGCGGGGAGCAGCCGGGGGAAGCGGAGACCTCGTCGTCGAGGGCGTGGATTGCGGGTGCGGTGATTGGGGGTGTGGTGGGTGCGGCGGGGTTGGGAGCGCTGGGGTTCTTGTTTGAGAAGAGGAGGGGGAGGGCGGCGGAGGGGGAAGAGGGCGGGACGGGGTTCAAGCTGCACTCGACGACGCTGCTTAGGTCGGGGGGCACACCCGCTCAGTATCCGGACCCAACGTTGCCGGGGCAGATGGGTGCGGTGTATGTGGCCGGCGGTGTGGAGATAGAGGGTTATACGCCCGAGAAGGGCCTGCCGACGAGTCCGCAGGAGGTTTCGGATACGGGGGCGACGCACGCGGAGCTGGAGAGTACCCCCGTGTGGCAGAAACAGGACCATGGGTCGTATAATAAGTAGTCTTTACTGCGTACTCCCTCCAGTTCTGAGAGCCGGGAGCCCAGTAAACATGATGAAACTGAAACGAGCATCCTCCAATCCTATGCGATTCCGGACCCGGGACTGTGTGATCCTCGGGCCACGTCTCTTCCGCCAAGGGCGTCCCCCAAGATCAGAGGCACAGCCGCATGGTCTCGGCCTGAGCATCTTCTTCCTTCGACCTGCTCACTGCCGACATGGCTCCACAACCACGTTTCTTGGACGGCCGTCGGAAACAAGGGGACCAGGCGTTCCCCGCAGTCGGGCTACATTACTGGCCCCGGAATATAACATGCTCGGATAGAGCCGCCCTGGTCTATTGCCTTATTCGGTCATAGAGAACACCGTTTGTGATTAGCCAGATTACCAACCAGGGGCGACTTTTAATTAGCCGCCCTCACCACCAACAAAATATTTAGGCGCCGTCACTCTAATTTCTCACGAGGAGACGCCAAGAGGTATTTATACCACCGTCCGGCGTCATGCGTAGTGAAGCCATCACGGCAGGGACTATCACTCTAGGTCCCTAGCTCTAGCTAGCAGTTGAAAAAGGCGCCAATGGCTTCCCGACGATCCAAAGGCGGTTTCCGGCCTGAGCACCACCCCTAACTCTAGTCTCCCTTCGCTGTCCTAGCAACTCCAACAACACCAAGATCGACACCATGCTGGCCGTCCTCCCCTTCCTCGCGGCCCTGGCCAACGCGGCCGCCATCGCCCCCCGCCAGAGCGCCACGCAAGTCGTCCGGCTCAGCTCGGTCGAGAACGTGGCGGTCCGCTCCAACGGCCAGATCCTCGCGACCAACATGAACTCCGCCAACCTCTACTCGATTGACCCCGTAGCCAAGACCTCCACCACGGCGCTCAGCGTCTCGGGCGCCACGGGCCTGTCCGGCATCGGCGAGTACGCGCCCGACATCTTCGCCGTCATCGGCGGCAAGGGCATCTACAAAGTCGACTTCACCAGCACCCCCCCGAAATCCAGCCTCATCAAGACCATCACCGAAGCCAACAACCTCAACGGCCTGGCCGTGTTCGACAACTCATCCGTGCTCGTGGCCGACGCGGGCAAGGGCGCCGTGTTCAAGCTGGACGTCAACACGGGCGCGTACGCCATCGCGCTGCAGGACGCGAGCATGGCCCCCACGGGCGGCATCCCCTTCGGCATCGACGGCATCAAGTACCGCGACGGCGTCGTGTGGTACACCAACATCTTCCGCAACAGTTTCCACAAGGTCGCCGTCGACCCGGCCACGGCCAAGGCCACGGGCGCCTACACCACGCTGTGGACCAACTTGATGGGCGATGATTTGTGCTTTGGGCCTAATGGCAAGATTTATATTGCGACGAATGGCCGGAATTCGCTGGTCGAGGTCGACCCGGCTGTTGGCACGCCTACGAGTGTAGGGACCGTCACGGGCTCGACGTCGTGTGCCTTTGGGCGTGCCGAGGGCGATAAGAATGTGGCTTATGTTGGGGCTGGCCAGGGGGTGTTTGCTGTGACGATCAAGGCGTAGGCGGTTGCTGAAATGGATACAGAGGTCACAAGTCATGATGGTGGCAGTCAGGGAGCCTGGTGGATAACAGGGAGCCCTGCAGCCCCATCTCTCTCTCTGTATATAGAAACAGAGCCTCCCACCATCTGGAAGCTCTGATCAATGCAAGCAACCTTACACAGACCATGCATAACCACGTTATTCAACAGCGGTAAAAGAGAGTTTGGGCGGAGAAAGTATATGAGAGGGGTGAGATGGCGACGTTTTCTCCATTGCGTCTTGTATTGTTGGAGTAGAGATGGTGAACAAATCGGCGGGGTTTGAACGCTGAGAATGAGATAATCCACTGTTGCTTCGAAACCTCTACTTAGGTCCCACTCCGTTCCGCTGACTGGGGGCTTTGTCGTCGGCAAGTAGTATCCCTCTACGTTTTTTCTAACATTCTTCATGGAATTCTCTCGTGCCTAACTTCTCTCCTTTGCCAGCCGTTTCGTGCTGATGGGGTTCCGTATAGCAAAGTCTGGAACAGTCCTCGCAATCAGCCCGTCATAACGGATGAAATATCTAAGAAAAGCACCTAGAACAAAGACTCAGGATTGCATAGATATGCAGCTGGCCTAGAAGCGCCCCCATTCCTATGAGCGGCCTCGTGACAATCTTAAAGGATAGGCAACGAAAACAACCCGTGTTAAAAGGCGACTAGCGTCACTGAAAGAAGAGGACTAGAAACTAGCAAATTGCAAGTTTGATTCTATAAAATACGCCCAAAACAGAAGCCAAATCACGGAACCCACTAATGCTACACAATGCCTAAGCACCCAGGCTCTTATCGAGGAGGTCTCAAAGAATACCCTCCCGGGTAGCGTCGCCGATTTTGTCCAGCATGGGATTGCTCTGCTTGTCAGCCTCGATCTTCTTGCTCAGCTTCGCTTTCTTCTCCTTGGACAAAGTCTCCAGCTTAACAGGGATCGGCTCTGCTCTTTGATTCGACGCGTGGCCATGGAAGAGGAGATCCAGGTATTTGCGTTGGTTCATTCCGGGGTCCTCAACCAGGTGGGCATTGTCAAAGAAGTTCCTCAGACCGCCAACCGTTGGCTGGAATCTGCTGAAGTCGTTCTTGCTCGGCAGCTGAATGGACGCCTGGAGGAAGGTCATGGCAAACTCGACCCACATGAAGACATCGTTGAGCTTGGTGCTGGCAGCCCCGCGGCGAAACTCAACTGTCTTGTACCTTTCCAGGGCGAGGAAGTTGACTCCAAAGTACTTGGACTTGTCCGGGTTCATCAGCGCAATAACCTCCTCCTGGCTCTTGCACGCCTCGATTGCGAGCATAGACTGGTCTCTGTTGAGGTTCTTGTAGGCCAGGTGCTTGTTGTCGATCCAGTTGCTTCGCGCGTACTCGTTCCCGCGGCGGTCCGGGGGCATGAGGGCCTCGACAGCGCACTCAAAGTAAATGACAGCCTGGGCCAGGCGCTTCAACTGCGTGAGGGAAAAGCCGCGGGCGAGGGAGAGATGGACGTGGGTGCTGCAGGATGCGTCCGCCGTGACTCCATACCGAAGCGACAGGAACCGCCACATTTGTGACACGGATTCTCGCCAGACCTCGCCACCTTTATAGGCGGTGAGAATGGGCGAGACGAGCTCGATGCCCCCTATTAGAGTTAAATACGTTAGCGAGTGCGACAGCAAGGGTGAGTGGCTTAGTAGCTATGGTATGAAACCCGGTATATAGGGATGGCCCCATCCGACGCATACGCGCAACTTACACGGTGAGTTGGTCGTCTCGCACGTAGGGTCATGATGAAGAGCCCATTCCGTATGCCTCATGCCATGCGGACCGCGGTATAGGTCTCCGACCAGGGAATGCATCTTGGGTAACCGGGACGATGGCCCGATCTCCGCGTGGTACTTCTCCACCATGGCTTTTGCGAAGAGCCGGAGTGACTGGTGGGTCTCATTTTGGCGACTTGCTAAGTAGAACTCTGTCTCGATGCCGATGCCGATGCTGTTTTCCGGAGGCGTCTTGGGCCGTTGCTGGACAGCAGGCCTCTGGGGAGGATTAACCGGAGGTTGTTGGGGTGGCGGAGGGGGCGGCGGGGGGGGAGGAACGCCCCTTGGGTTAGCTACGGGGGCCTTACCGCCGCGATTAGGGGAGGTCCTTTGCGCTGAGGGCTGAGTGCCCTGCTTTTGGCCACGTGCACTCATTGTGTCGGATGAGCTGTTGTGGGCGATATTGAGGGTATTAGGTTCCAAGTACGGTAAAATAGGGAACCTAACCTTGGAGTGCAAGTGGTACTACTGGTAAATCAACAGAAGATAAGGGATGACAGGTATTCTCAAATAATGCTTTGAACAAGATCTCCGGGGCGATACCGAGAAGCCCTTTTCGCTAGAACATGTCCACCTTCTTATAACCCCCGAATCGCCCCTCTGTGCTTCTCCCCCATGTTGTTGAACAAGCCATGATGTTCAACCTGCCCTGTCTTCCGCGCCGAGTCGGCTCGACCCAAGCCTGTTTCGGCCAACGTGGTCGATGGGGGTCAGGGGCAAAGTGAGTTTCCCAAATATAACTCGAGGTTGCAGCTTCACGGTCCGGTATACCCATGCATGTTGTATCTTTCAAGTATCCGTCGTAGTCTTTTTTACATGGGACAAAAGTACCGCCGGGTTCAAGCTGTCAAGTTAGAAAACCCCAAGCACCCGTGCCGCTCAAATGCCGCCGGCTCCGTTTGAGTGTTCGATACAAGTTCACGTTGTTTAGCATTGGCTTCAAACGACACGGCCAACCGTCAGAAGCGACATCTCCAAGGGCTGCTTCAGATTGTTTCATGGTGATGGAGCCAGGTGGTGAAGTGGCTACTTCAATCCCTCCATGTATGCGCCGCGTGGCCCCCACGATGCGCCAAGATGGCGCAGGTCGGGAGCACAAGGAATTCTGAAGGAACGGAGATGTGACACCAGGTGCTATATTGGGTTCTTTTCAGCTCTGTTTGAAACTCGAATTCTTTCGAGGACGTGTCGTCCCCGATCGGTTCACGGCTTGTGGGTTTAGATCAGGGACTTGGAGTTGATCATCGAAGCAACGGACGTCACGACTCACAGATCAATGCCACGCACGCAACCGAGCCTGGAACCAATCAAACCAAGTAAATTTGTTTAGTCACGCTCACAGCCTTCACTGCAACAGGCACGTGCCTGGCTCAGGCTGCCTCCCTACATCAGGATTCTTCCCACAACCCTCCTAGTTGCCGAGTACCGACAAACACCCAACAATCTTTCCCGGCTCCTCACCAACATTGTGTCAAAGCATTGATCAAAATCTACTGTCGTCCACCCAGATGGAGCCAGTGTTCAACTCGGCCGAGGGCCCGCCTTCGCCACCGGACTCGCCGCCGCCGCCACCTTCTACATCTGTGTTGGCCGGGGCACAAGCGCCCGCGCCTGATACCCGTCCTTCGCCGTACCTCGAAAAGCTTGCCTCCATGCCTGACAACTATGTGTTTTGGATCCCCCCGCGCCCGCCATACGTCTACGAACCCATTTATTACTTCTTTTACGGCACGCTGACGAGCCCCCACATACTCAAAGAGGTGCTGGGTCTTAAAGCCGACCCGGTCCTAAGGAGTGCCAAAATCGTCGGCTACGGCCTCACCAACTGGGGCCAATACAAGGCTCTAATCGACAAACCGGGGGCTGTCGTGACCGGCTACGCTTACAAGGTGCAATCGGTCGATGATGAACTCAAGCTAGCGTATTACGAGACGAACGCGTATGAGCTGGCGCCGTGCGAGATCAGCTTTACGGATGACCCTGAGAAAGAAGAGGATCGCGGGCCAGTTATTGGGCACACTTTCAAGTACGCTGGGGACGCGCAAGCCTCCAGGCAAAAAGGAAGAGGGTTTAATTTGACGTTGTGGGAGATGTACATGGGAACACGATTACCGCCGGGGTGGCAAATGAAGGCAGAGCCGGAGGTGGACCAGAAGGCAACCGGAAAGCCAGAAGAAGGATGAAGACAGAGCAGGGATAGGCCAGATTGAGGGGCTTGGACAGAAGCCTGTCAATATTTAAGTTTTAAGTTGCTTTGCTGGCTCGCTAGTGCATTGATGCTCCTGCACCACGAATGTTGCGATCTGATGAGAAATCGATTCTAAACATGATTCTATCTGATTGATATTTTTTTATCCAATGCCGGCCATTTTCCCAAGTTGGATGTTTTTGCAGGCCCCCAATTCGCCCGCGGACCCAAGTTGTGATTGGAGACGAGATTTCTGTCCCATCATTTAAACCCACAGCAGCCACTTTTGTTACTAATTAATAGCCCCAAGGATCTTAAGAATCTCCAGTCAACCCACTACCACATAACAACGGCACCCAGCATCCGAATTCACCCAACCCGACTCGCAGGTGGACCGTAGTATTGATACTCCATCATTTAACTCACTCATGGAAGAATCAAACGAACCTTGTTTGGGTGTCGACAAACCCGCGCCCCCACCGCCGCCGCCTCCTCCGCCTCCGCCTCTCCCTCCAGCTCCGCTCTCCCAGAAACCCCCAACACGCAAGGTGGCAGCGGTTCCTAACCAGCCAACAATCCAAGCCGCTCCACCCTCCGACGGCCCCAACCCCCCGCCCTTCCAACCCACTTACTACTTCTTCTACGGCACGCTCACCAAACCACACATCCTCCAAGGCGTCCTCGGCCTGGATTCTGCACCAACCCCCCTCCACCCCGCCCAAATCCACCACCACGAACTCACCGCCTGGGGCAATTACCGCATGCTCATCGACAGCAGCAACCCAGAAGCCGTCGTCGACGGGTACGCCTACCACGTCCAGTTCGCCGAGGAGGCGCACAAGCTGGGCTACTACGAGCCTAACGCCTACGTCTTGACGGATTGCACGATCCACTTCACCGACCCAAGTCAGGGCAGCAGCAGCAGCCCTCCCGTGGTGGAGGGGAAAACGTTCAAGTATGCCGGGGACGCGGCGGCGCTCAGGGAGGGCCGGTTTGATCGCGTGCTTTGGGAGCGGCAGATGGGCCGGCCGTGGCCGTTGAGACGGCAGCAGGGGGGGACGCCCGAGTAAGGTCGTCGTAGCCCTATTAGTATCTGAGGCATGTAGAACCCGGGGTGGTGGCGCGCGCCGTCGCGGGGGACGGATACGATGTGGATGTGAAGCACGGGGGGGGAGGCGGGAGAATAGGGGATCGCGTAGACGGGTCAAGGTAGTTTTGTTCCCAGTTTCACGGGGACGGGGGATGATTGGCAGGTGAATCGGGGAGCGGGAGGAAATATAGATAGGGGCACGGGGAAGGGTTGGGGCATTCGGTTTTCATCTGGGCTCCCAGCCTAGGATTCTGGAAACCGCTGATAGGCGCCGTCGGTGGTTGTGACCCAACACCACCAAGAGACATGCCATGTTTACATTCATTCTTACGGGGCAGTTGCCCATGATAGATGGGAAAAATAAATTGGATAGGTCCCAAGAACCGAACCATTCAGCCCGACCGAGTGATCTTCCTCATGCTCATGCTTCCAGCTCATCTCCGGTCACATGCGCTAAGATTAGCGTCAGGGTGCAGCTCAAGAATCCCTGGCTTGTCCATGACACTTGCACCTCTCATTCATATCTGCCCCCTTTTTCACCACATAACGGTCATCCCGTCCATCTCGCCGCTGAGGCGCCGGGTTGCCGACGACATTCTTGATCCGTGGGCTTCTCCGAGGACCGCTTCGGCTGAAACGCTCTCTCTCGTGTAGCCGTCTTTTGCTGCGGCGTAGTGCGAATTGCGGCCGAGTTACGTGGCGAGATCAGCAGCTTAGACATTTCAACTTGGGCGCTTGGCCGGCATCCTGGCCTGGTTGTGTGTAGCCGCGGCCGTTCGCCGCTTCTTGCGCTCTCAGGATTCCGGTTTGGGTTCCAGCGCAGCTGAGACAAATTGAGGGTCCCCGGAAGGAACTGCATCGGGGGACGGCGGGAATGCAGAAACCGTTTCCAATGGCTGACAGTTTGCGGCAGCTTCCTCGCCACCGAGAGTCTTCTGCTTCTTGGCCAACGGCTCTGCACCGTCCACTTCGTCATCCTCCGTCCGGTTGCGCTTGACACCTTCGGCGCCAGCAGTCGCCTCCTGCTTCATCTCAGCCTGGATTAGAGGTATCTGATGATTCTGATCCGCCGTCCAGCCCTACTGCGCGACTTTCAGCGTGTATCTAAGCGGATTCGATTTCCGCATGGAGCGCATGACGAAGCACGTATAGCAGGTGTATTCAATCGGACTGCTGAAGGTTGCGATATCCGCTTGCCTAAAGCCCAGAAATTGAAGGGCATCAGTGGCATCCAGTGTCTCGTTTGCTTCAACGGGCACGACCGTCTCGTGCTAAAGGACGTGTGCGATATAGGGACAACTACGGGCAAACGGGTAGATGGCACAGCAGTCTCCTATCACGGTCAAGGACGGGAGAAACGTCGTCACTTTACATGGATCCTCAGCGGCACTGATTTCACCGACCACCGTGAAGCAGCGCCAAAGCCTGACCTCGTTCCAGGGCAAGCATTACCGCAGCCATCGCAGGTTGCCAAGGACGAAGTTGCGTCTTCTCTTTCATCACCACCAACCGAGAGTGTGAGATTTATACGATCCGGTCCTCTGTCGAAGAGACCGGCAAGCGCCCAAGGCACACGACTGCGTCCGGATCGTCGTTGGCATCTGATGACCGACGACCGAAGCGTCCGTTAAGGGACCCTCTTGAGAACGAGATACAAACAAAAGCTTAGGGGTCGTCGCCGCGGAGAGATCGCCGCCGTTGTGGAAGGGTCGCCGGCGTCGCGTAGGGTTTAACCCTAAGTAGTTTGGCACAGCTTCTCCCTCGCCCTAATCCAAACCCCTTGATATCTTGCGTTCCTTTCCCCTCGGGCGACCCGTACATCAGCCAATAGCCACCCAGTCTCGGTACCAAAAGCGCAACTAAGGTAACGCTCGGTTGGACCGATATTTTGTCACACCGATATGTCCCAACGGGCCGCGCATCATTCAAGAAGACACTCTCGGGACATCACGTCCGCTTCCCAGGTTCAGTGATACCACCTTCGGTGGCCAGAAACCGCACTCTCTCCGCCTAACTGTGTCGTATATCCCCCATTAACACAACGGAAGGCCACCAAACGAGCGGCACAGCATCCAAATCACATCATAATGGCTTTACCCCCCTCCCCTTCAATCACACATACAACTCGACAGATCGTAACAGGAGGATCGCCAGCACACTCCCATCCCAACCCGACACTTCCCATCATTTCCCCAGTTCCGCATCCTCGGCGACCCCGTTATCACCGCCCGCGGTCCCCATTGCGGGGGCCACCTTGCCGCGTGGGCAGTGCCTCCCCATCCCCAGTGCACGGTGGCCGCAACAATGGGCCGCAAGCTAATGTGCGATATCGGAGGAGCTGGTTCACAAAATCTGGATGGTGACCGGGAGGAGAGGCGGGGTGCAGCATGGCGCTGTGGTCCTCCGCCGCTCCGCCGCCGGAGGTTTTTGCGGCTTTTGCTCAGCTCTCCCATGTCGGCCGTGGTTTGGATGCCCCCCGGCGGCGGCCGGGTTTCTGTTTTTGGCAGTCGGCGACTCGGCGGAGCTGGAGGGGGTTTAGCTCGGTCTAATGACTCCAGTCACGGCCGTAGGTCGATGCGGGATGCATGATGCAGCAACCCCCTCATGTTTGGGGTCATGGAATGTTCTGTCCTGCTTCCATGGGCAGGGTTCATGTCGCCGTTGGCTGGCTGAGCTGGCGACTTGCGCGCATGCAAGATGCTCTTCTTGGGAACTCCGGAGACGGTGCCGGGTGCCCTGCATCATGCCCCCCCCACATACCATCACATGTCAACCATCCCGGGGACCTCTGCGCTGGAGATACCATGTCTCGGCAGCCCCGAGAGCGTCTTGTCTGCAAGCTCTGCAAGCTCTGCAGCTGCTGGTGGTGGTGATGAGTGATCAGCGCGGCTTGGGCGCTTAAACGCGCTCAAGCGCACAAGCGCCATTGGGCTGTTGGGGGACGGCAAACACGCCGACCTGCACGCCTCACAGTGCATTTTACGGCTGTGGCTTCGAATTCGGCCGCCCTAGCCGAACCACCGGCCGCAGAAGTACAGTCAAGTATTTTGAGTGGTGGTCGCGAGGCTTGATAGGTACCTAGGTATGACGCGAAGGGCTTTCAGGGATCCACGTTGAGTTCAATGAGTCTTGGTTTCGCCAATTCAGCCGTCCCATGCTGCGGCTGTTCGCGAGTTAGGCGAATTCAAAGTTGATGCTGGGTCGCGGCACAGGTAGCTTTGATGGTGTTTCGGCACCTTGCCGGCCATTCTGGGGATTCCCGGGTTGCTGATTGGCTGTGTTACCGCATTTGGCAATTTTGGGCTGGTCACGATTCTAGTTACGTATTGGTGTTGTTGGTCCTTCTTTAGATACCGCTTCTTCAAGATGGCCTGAGAATGGCCATGCTGCTGCATCATGACATTGATCATGTTGCAAGAGAAGAGAGGAAGCCGAAGATGCCCGGGATGACCCACGGAGCCCGAGCCGGAGGATCCACTTCCCCGTGCGGGGCCGGAGCTGTATCCTTGTCTCCGGGGCGCGCCGAAAAGTTTGTTGGCCCACGCTGAGAGATATGACCATGCAACAACGCCATGGGTGGCGAAGTTGCGGCGACAATTGAGTGCAGAACTGGTCATACAGTGCAAGATTGTTATTAAGGGGAGAAAAGAGTGATCGTCAATTATGGTTCGATAGTCGTACTCATGACGAGATCGGCGATGTAGTTTATTGTAGCGTAATAACTAACAGAAACTGAAACAATAGTTATCCATATTTATTGTAACAAGAAGTGAAGTTTATCGGACACGGCACTAATAAAGGGCCATGCTAGACGGGCAGTAACTTTCGGCTAGCCGGGCAGTGCCAAATTGGCTAGCCGGGCAGTACCTCCCCAAGAGAAAACGCTAACACGTAGATCCTTAATATCGCAGCGTCCCTCAACAGATACCTGATTAATCAAAAGTCCTTTGTAATATCCTTTTTTTGCTCTATTCTATAGTGTAATCCATGTCCTTTTCGGACCTGCGGGTATTGTACAATTGCGTTGTGAAAACGGTACAGCTATTTCCACCTAACGTTTGTTCTAGGTCTAGACTCCCGCTCTGTGCAGCCAATATTCAGCAGCGGCGTGGGCGTTTCCTAGCCCTTGCAGGCTGCTCCTGAGACTCCTGAATACGCGCGACTGGCATCACTGTACGCCCACTCCGAGTAGTCCGCAGAGTCTGATTGGGGACGGCACCCTGACTTCTAGCCGGCCCGGAGATCCTTGGGGCGTTCTCAGGTCGGCGTTCTGGGTCCTTTCCACGCCAAGTATTGACTATAATCTCTGGTTCCGGCTCCGATTCGATTTCAGGCCTGGATTCGAGGTCATCCAGCTGTTCTGGTTCTATCTCCCATTGCGACAGGCGCCGTCTCACACTCGGATTGAGTCTTCCAGCTGATGCGTGGCCTCGAGCCGCTCTTGGGTTGCGGGCGCGCCGACTGCCTCTCCAACCTCGTTGGGACTGTCGGTTACCTCTCTGTGAGGCTGGAGGTCGAAGGCTGACTTGGCCGGGGAGGCAGAGTTCTCTGGTGACTGGTATGGGCTCATTTTTGGGACGCCCACGTCGCCGTTCAGCTGGATTGGGGTCCCTGATTCGAATATATCTCTCTTGACAATCGATCCTCGAATCAAGGAGCCAGCGTGGATCAAGATCCTGCAAAGTAAGAGGCTCCTTATCCTTCAATCGCTGGTGAATAATATGCCGGCAAGGAAGACGAAACTGTAGCTGTATTGTACAGGAATCATCGCAGACTGGGACTTCTTCGGATCCTGTATCGCGGGCATTGTTCAATGCCTTCTGCGCGTGCCGTTTCTCGCGAGTAATATGCTCTAGAGCTTTGAGAGAGACGGCTTGAGGGAGATCACCTAGGTAATCTTGGTGTAAGTAGTCCATCTTAATCCTCGTCATCTGCTTTGCCACCTCCTGATTGTAGTTGCGGTGCTGATTCTGGCACATTTCTTTGAGAGCCTTTGTCAAGCGTAAGAAATCGCTTTTGCCGGTTACCAGATAACTCTTGATGTTGAAGTTAGAGGACTCGGTCTGAGACGTGACCGATTGGGAGAAATTCAGGTGCCTCCGAGTACAGTATTCCGCCCATTGTTCTCTCAGAGGGAGCCATTCAGCCTGGAGATACTGCAGGATCTCCTCCTGGTCGGAGAACTCCGCAATAAGCCATGTCCAGATCCTCACAAATTCCTCCTTAGTCTTGGCGCGTACCAGGATCTTCCAGATGGTAAGAACGCCCTCAGCATCGTGGGTGATCTTGGTCCGGGATCCAGGACGATCCTCAGAGGGTTCTTCCTGTAGTACTATACATCACCAAGACCCTCCTCATCAGCTGCTAACTTGGTCGGGCAGGCGAAGCCATTTGCCCTCTCTTGCCTGGAGGAGAACGTTCTTGTTGATATGGAAACGGCACAGCTGTTGTTGGGCATCCGGAAACGTCTCCTTCAGGGCGTCCCTCATCCTTTCGTCTTTATTAAGGATCGTTACGGCTGGAGATCGGGCTTCAAGTTGGACCTGGAGTTCCTTGACTCCCTGAGCAAGGAAATCAAAGCCCTCACGGCGTTCGTTATTGATCAAGCCGAAGGCAACGTTTGCAGTAGAGTTGATATTCGTCTGAGTGGTAATAACAAACAGGGGAAATCCAAGTGCGTTGGTACTGTGAGTATTGTCAAAACTGAGGCAGTCTGGGAAGCGCTTCCACATCTCCTGACACTCTGGGAAGGTAAAAGCGATGCCCAAAAGGCGGTTGGGATCTCGGGTATCCCATTTCGGGACATATAGGACTCCTTCCTGGTCAAAAGCCTTGATCACAGCCCCGGAGGCTGAACAACCATCCTTTTCCTGTCGACGGAATGCCTGTCTGGCGTTGTTGATATCCTTGATGGTGAAGTGCGAATTGGGTTCCTCCTCCTCTACCATCTTGCTAATCTCGCGTGCTTTGATGGCGCTATAGCTGGACATCTTCTTCACAAGGTTCTTGACCGGGGACTTTATCTTCCGGTGTTGTGGGTGAGCCGAGGGATCGAGGGACTTCGGGTGGTTGTGGACGTGGTAACGAGGATCCTTATGATGCCTGAACACCCATCCTTCATCTGTGAGCTTTGCCGATGCCTTGAACTTGCAGCCAGACTTGCGAGTGCTGGACTTGCGTAGCCGGACTCCCTCGGTAGGTCTAGGCAAACCGAAGCGGTCACAGACGATGGTGTAGTAAGTCGGTTGGCCTGCTATACGGTTGGAGGCGTTCTGGCGATTTACTGCATATCCGTTGGCCTTGCCGTGGGCGTTGATTGCGTCCTGAAGCTGTTGAATAGTATCTGCTTTTACTGTCGAGCCGTCATTGCAAAGGGCTCCTCCCTCTGGGTATATTGGGATGGCATCTTCGTCATCTGACAGGCCGTCCTCCGAAAAACCACCCCATTCCTCGAAATCTTGATCCGACATTTTGTGCGCGCAATTTGGAGGTGTTGCACCTTTCGTCGACGAGAGCTAGTGGAATATTCGGGTTCATCAGGTTCGAAAAGGTCGGAATGGAAGTTCTTACGAAGATCTGGCGAGAATTAGCGCGTAGCTGGGCGCGTAAGAAAAGCGCGTTATTTATCACGGGTTGTGGAAGGGGACTGCCAGGTCAGGGGTAGCTACTGCCCGGTTAGCTGAAAGGTTACTGCCCGGCTAGCCGAAAGTTACTGCCCGTCTAGCATGGCCCCTAATAAAACCTGCGCAAAACAAACATCCAACTCGAACAACCTGAACCATCCGTCTCCTCCAGTGCAGTGATGCTCACCCAAATCTATTCCTCCAGCTACCCAGGGCGAACCATAGTAGCTATGACCGTTGTGTAATCTATCGTACCTCTCCCCCAAAAAACAAACTCCAGGAAAATAAAAGGAAAGACACGCCCTGAAAAGTCCAGCCCGGTACCGAAAACGCCGAGCTCCCTCCTCTATCCCGGTGGTGTTACAACATGGCGCCTGGTATGGAATGATCCAAATCGTGTACTAATACAAGCCGGTGCCTGTTGCCGATGGCGTTAGAAAACCATGCCAGGCATTGGTTGTGATGCTGGGGACGTACCGCGTGAGAGTGTGTACAACTCGGTCGTGGCGATCGAAGAGGCCGGTGGTTTGCCGTGGCAGGCGGCGTAGAAGGTTGGCCTTAGTCGAAGTTGACGTATTGGAAGATGGCGTTACACTCATCGCACATCCCGTTGGAGTGGTATTGAGATACCCGGCGGCGGTCGTACCGCTCGTCGAACTCGCAGAAGCCATAGACGTATCGCCTGTAGACATCACACGAGTACTTGGTCCTCCGCAGCTTGCTGTGCCTGCGGTCACAGGTGTAGATGATCTCTTCCCAACCGCACATTGTGGACGATGTGATGGTGACTCCTTCTTGGATGGTATCTGGGATGTAAAAGGGGATGGGTTTCGAAACGATGCTGTGTGGGCAGGTCGACCCGCAGGGTGTGGTGATTGCTCTGACGAACTGTGGTGGTGAGAGAAGGTCGAGTCGACTTGAATGAGGTCGGGACAGCTTTATAACCTGACATCGACATAGACAGGATACCGACTGAGTCAAGAAAATGAACCAAGAGTGCGCCTCGGCCGATCAGGGCGGCGGAGGCTCAGGCGAATGACCCAACTGGCAATGGTACCAGAAGGGAAGACACCGAGAGTGAACGACAGGTGACTTCACTCAAGCTGCGGGTGGACGCCTTCTGGGGGCCGCACATTTGGCAATGCCCCTGACCGATGAAAACCAGACGGCTGGGATGGGGGTGCTAGGGGGTTCTTCGACGCCCCGGTCAAGGGCAGGAAATACGGCACCATACCCCATCCATCCAACTCCACTCATGCTATGTCAACCCCCAAGCATGTGAAAGATAAGGGATGGTGCTCGTCCATTGTCCTATAGGAATAGAGCCCGCTCGATCTCTCTGCTGCGGCGGGAGCAGGGGTGGTGTAGGTCCCGTTGGAGCTAAGGAGTAAGAAGCTTAGATCAACATTTGCCAACACGGCAACTGCTCATACACACCAGTGACACCACCGGAAAGCGGACGGCCTCTTCACTGCCAACTTCGACCGGGTTCCCCTGCCAGGCCCACCAATTGGGCCACCATGTGTTGGTGCGCGGTGAACAGACGCAGTGCGTCTAAATAACCGCCGGCCCCATTTTCGCCGGTCCGGCATCCCCTGATTGGCACATACCCGACCCTGCACTTGGAAAAGGTGTTCTAGAAGATCAACACGCTGGGATGATGAAGATGGACTAGCAATCTTTTACTCATTGACGGTCTGCGGTACCATTGTATGTCCATCATTTCCTAGTCGGCGGCCAGGGGTTGAACGTTGCGGCTTCCTCCCACACTCTCCCCCCTTCACCACTCTTGTCGGCCGCCACCCACGGTCGCCTTGCACTCGAGGCACCCAATACATACCTGCTCCGCCTTGCCGGGATGCCTCGGACGACAAACCTTGGTTCGGGGAGGGATTGGCCAATGGCCAACGGCTGCTCCTTTCCTAGGTGACGGTTCCCCAGGTTTCCAACACCCATGCGTCGATCGTCTCATGTTCATGTCCAGCCCTATCCTCTCTGACTCCCCGATACGTACCTGCAACATGGGTAACATGCCTAGAGTACCATCAGACCGCTCGGCAGCTGGGGCTAAACCTGCTCAAGTGCTGCATTGAACGCCACGATGCTCTCCGCCGCTAGTCCGCACCCCGCATACCCGTCCGTGTTTCGTACGATCCCTTATGCACGGTGCCCGCATTTCGATGTTATGCATGCAGGAACGGTGAACTGTATCCGCTCCCACTCCCACGCTCTCAAACTATAGCATGCCCAAACGCACCCAAGTGATACATCACCGCTTTCCAGTCTCAGCCGGGGACATCGGACTTCACCGATGGCTCTGGGAGGTCATGACCCCAGCATCAACCGAGATTAGGCTCATTCCTCAAAACCGGAGGGCCGCTGTCCTGCCTCCTCGCTCTGCCTAGACCCGTTTTCGAGGCACTGTGGGTGCTGTTGGCTTTCTTGCAGTAGGAGATCGCTCGAGTCGGGGCTGCGCCTTCGCCTCCCACAACCAACCTCGGTGCTAGCACCCCCAAGATCCGACTCTGTGACCAAGATGGGGCCCGTCTGAGGTCGCTTCTTGGTGGTGCGGATACCAAGGTAGTTAGTCCGGCCTCTCTATGCGGCCCGCGCATGCGGTTTTCGGACGTTCTCCGCCAATGGATTCTGAGTGGCAGTGTGGCTAAGCTACTTGACTTTTATCAAGTTCAACCAGGGGAAACAACACCTTGAGCTCCCTCCTGAATCGAATCCACACTCGACATGTTGGATCCATGAGATTTCGGATTGAATGAAGAAGAAAATGAAAAGAGTGACCAACGGCAAAAAACAGTCACCCCTAGGCTCATTGGCGTTGTTGCGGCCGTTGTTGCGGAAAGCAGCCATCGGATTGGTCCATTAACCGCCGGCGATGAACCAACCGACATGTCACTGCGACTGCGACTGCTGGTGGCTTGTGATGGGCTTGCAGCATCATCTCGCTCCGAAAACATGGTCATCGGCGAAGGGGAGGGTTGCTTGCTGCTTGCTGGTTGCTGCGGGTGAGTTATGACGGGATCAGGAGATCCGTCCAACTTACTCAGGGGTCAGGGGTATCTTTCACCAGCCATTTGTCGCCATCTTGCCCGATCCCCACCGACCGCATTCGCATCATGCGCAAGCAGCTGTGTGTGTGTGTGTGTATTAGGAAGTGTTCCAGAAACACCAGAAACTCAGAAACCTTCTTAAACCGCCGTGGCGTCTTGGAGAGGCTAGCACCGACCGTGGTTAAACCATTGGCGTACGTTACGGTATGTATGCCGATTGCGTCGTTGCACAAGCTTGCCGGCAATATCTGGATAATACTGCGCGCCGGGGACCCGGACAGTTCGCGGGCCCGGGTGAGATGCGCAACGGTCGAGCTGCCGGCGGGGTCGTGCAGGGCAATATGTGAGGCCCGCGGCAGATGCAAACGCTAGAAGGCGAGAATGCTTCGAGAAGCGCGCATCTGCCGCCAAAAAAGTACAAGATCCGCGATCCCTTGCCGCGAGCTTCCTACATGGAAAACATCTTTGGCTCGCAGTGGCCGCCCCCGAGACACCGAGCCCGACAACAGCAACAACAGGAGGGCCACGTACCCGCGGTGCAGCCACCGTGCGCGGCAACACCATAACCACTGCTCCCACCATTCCCACACCGCAACACCCATCCGCGATCACCATTCTCACCGCCAGCACCGGCACCAGAGCCCGAGATCGCGACCTCCCCAGCCACAATGCACCTCCTCCTCCTACCTCTCACCCTCACCCTCCTACCCACGCCCGTCCACGCCCAACAACAACGCTGCCAGTGGGCCACGCTGCGCTCGGCAACAGACTCCGTCCTCGAAGCCCTCGCCGCCGGCCTATCCTCCGCGACCACCACCCCCGCCGTCTTCTCCTCCCCCGAGCTAGCGTATACCGTCAACGACACCCCCCTTCCCTTCCCGCTCCCGGCCTCCGCGGACTCCGTCCACACCGCCGCCGATAACAACACCAACAACACCATCACCACCACCCTCTTCACAGCGCCCCTAACCCTCTCCGTCACGCACAGCATCATCGACCAAGACCGCTGCGCCGCCTTCATCAAAGCCGTCGCCTATCCCACAACTCCCACCCCCACAACAACCACCACCAACCCCCACCCCAAAGACCAACCCCCCCCAGCAATCCTCCTCCTCGGCGCCCAAGTCCACTACACCTACACCCCCCTGCACGGCGCCCTCGCCCACCGCCTCGACACCGTCGTCACCACCAAAGGCGACTGGAAGATGCCTGTGGGGCTGGACGGGGCGGTGCTGGAGGGGTTGGTGCGCGCGGAGGAGTGGGGGGCGTTGGGGCGGGGGGAACAGGATGGGCGGGGGGTTTTGGAGGGGGTTGTGGGGGGGTTTTTGGATTGTCTCGGGTGTGAGAGGGGTCGGTATGGGAATGGGACTGGGACGGTGGTGGTTTGGGGTCGGCCGTGTGCGCGGTTGGAAGGGGAGTGTGTATACGGCTGTGGGGGAGGGGGAGAGTTGTGAGGTCGGGTTGGAGGTGGGTGGTGGTGAGGGAGGGGTGGAGGGGGAGGGGATCACGGAGAGGCAGTTTGTGGTGGATGAGTCGGTGGGGTCGGTGAGTGTGCTGGCTAGGGATGGGAGGTTGGGGGGCGCGCCGACGGTGTTTGAGTTTAGGGTTGTGAAGGGGGCGTTGAGATATGTGCATCAGTTTGCGGCCACGGCGTCGGCGGGGATAAGCATCTAGCTAAGCCGGCTGGTTTAGACTTCACGTGGTAGTGCTCGAGCTCATCTAGTTCAACCAACTAACCGTGATGCTACCTTTACGTGTAAGCATTGCATTCTAGGCCTTGCCTAGAAAGACCCGGGCTCCCACTTCGGCAGCCCCTGAAATAGTTCCACATGTTCAACCTCAGAGACATCCAGCTCCTCCAATCTGACGTTGGTGTCGCCTGCGGCCCGCCACACTCTCCAATACCACGAGTACAGCCTAATGTAGCGGAGACGGGGTGCTGCTGTGGCGAGTACTCGAACAGCTCTGTTTGCGGCTTCGCGTCTGACACGCTTTTCATCGTTGATATTGACTGCGAGCTGGGCAAGATTATCCAGCTTCTGAAGAGCATCGGCAAGAAGATCCAACTCGTCGAAATCAATCTTGGGCCCTGGGCTCTCGGTCAGGTGGACGACAAGGCCTTCTAGCGTGCCATCATCTCCCGACACTAGGTCCTCAAGCACTTGTTTGGCAGAGGGGATCTCATCGTGGTTCAAGAGGCGGCCGTCGTTACTAAATAAGCGAACCTGATTGCGCCGCAGCTCCATCTCGAGCATCCGCACGTGTAGCGGGAGGGAGGGATAGAGCGGGTTAGGTCGGAGAAGGGCAGCCGACTCATAGCCAGTGGTCATTTCCGGGCACAAGATGGCCAGCCTCCTTGCGGAGGAAGGATCCAGAGCAGCCAGGGATCTATGCACGTCTTTTCGGTAGCCAGCAACGCTGAGATGGCGTAGATTAGGACAATGGGCGGGCCCAAAGGCGTCAAAGATAATGCCGCTATCGTCACCATCGTCGTACATGCTGATGATGACCCCGCCGTGCCACACCCCGACGTTCTCAATATGGACTCGCTCGAGAAAGCGGAGGTCGGTAAGCCTCTGCAAAGAGTCGAGACTGTACGGATACACAGCGTTGCCGAGTTGCAATGACTGGAGGCGCAGCGGCGCGGCTCCCGTTTGCCCATAGTCGTCACACAACTGGTCGAAAAACCCTTCAAATTTCTCCCTCTCGTTCCTTTTGTTGTAGTGTTCAAGTGTCTGGTCCGCAAGGGATAGCTCTAGCGACCGGAGACGCGGTGAGTTTCGGAGCACTTGGGCAACTTGCGCCCTCCACCAAGGCAGCTCTTCGTGGAGATTGTTCAGTGTTAATTCCTCGAGGCACGAGAACACGGTCAGGTTAGGCTTCTCATAAAGCCTGCGCTGCTCTAGCTGCACATCCGGAGGCGGTGGGAAGTCGCTGTAACCCAGCCTCTGGCCCATGTCTTTGGGGAAGTCAATGTGGATGATTTTGATGGCCGGGCTTGATTTGTGGAGGGCGCTAAGGACGACCACTGGTAATGGGCTGGATCCGCCACGCCATCTATATTGCCTAATGTTAGTCCTCAACCCCTGGCTAATACGGAGCGTGTTTGGAAGGCTTGCGTGAATTTCCTTAATCGCGACAAGCTGGGTAATAGCTGCGAGACAAGGCTCTGGAAATCAGAACTACCGCGGTTGCCGGAACCGCGGACAAGGAGCTCTCGGACATGGTCATATTTCTTGGTGCTGGCGAGTGCGAGCTGCAGGCTGACAGCGGCATGTCCGGTGCTCCCGCTGATGGTGAGCTGCCGGTACAGGACAGGCGTGATGGCAGCGTTGAAGGTCTTGTTGACAAGGCAGAGTGTTGTAAGCTCCCGGGTACTATAGATCTAGAGGGCGATGAGTGAGCTAACCCAGCCCAACATGATGAGGGGTGTGTGTTTAATGCATCGCCGATGATCAGGAGCAGCCTGCACACCCACCTGTTCGGCCAGGCAGCGCACAAGCTCGGGTAAGCTGGCAAACACCACCGAGGGCGATGGTTGAGAGTGAGACATTGAGAAACCGGAGAACCAATGCTTCTGCACGGAACGCCAACGAGCTTGGCTTGAAGCAAAGGAGAACCAACTCGCGAGAATCAAGTGATCGTGTCGCGATGTTGCCGGATGACTGGGGGCCGCGTTTGGGGTGTCAGGTCTCACCTTCGATACCACCTCAAGGGTGACAGCGGGGTTGCTTGGCAAAATAGGTACTGCCTGGCCGGAGCCAACCACGCGAGAGTGGGTGAGTCAGGGGCAAAGACAAGGTGGCTCACCCTTCCTCCGTCGGTTGAGCCACTCAGGTTAAGCGGTAGGTGGTAAGAGCCTTTGTTCCGCTAAAAACTCTCGCTGGTCGGGTCCTAGTCATTGTCAGCAGTGCACCTTGGGTAGGTCCATAGATAGAGCTTTTCGAGGCCGTTCGAATCCAGGTGTTTTTGTCGGTTTCGCGAGACAGCACATCGTCTCCGCTGTTTTTTGAGGGAATTAAGAGACTTGCAACCAATGCAATGAACGCTCAGAAGCACGTGTCGTCCAGTTCCCTCCGCCTACAAGGTCAACTGGAGGTCGCCATAACCGTTTTGAAACTCTCGTCTCTCCTCTGATCAAGAGTCTTCTTCATATGCGGTCATCAGAATACAGGGCCACCCATAATTCTCATCTGCCTTCGATATGGATCCAGAAAGAACTGCTACCAGCGGCCCGGATTTGGCCCAGCGCGCGGCTATGGAGACTACAGCGCGACTTGTTGCAGCCCTAGTCAACGAGGGATCGGTGCATATTTCCACAGAAAACCACAGCCCCCTCAGCAGCACCGTCTCTGGTTTCACCCTGGCGTGCCCCAACGGCCAAGACAGCTGCTCAGTCTGCATGAAGATACATCTACGCGAGGGCACTAGATATAGGGCTGCTGTTGCCAACGACGCTTGAGCAATCCGCAGTCCTCACGCCGCCACTCGAGCCAGATGACATGGTTGGCCCCGATGGTTATCCAGGGATACAGGTCGGATCAAATGCGCCGCAGCCGATCT